GAAAGAGATCTTGGAGTCATTGTGGATAGTTCTCTGAAGATGTCCAACACAGTGTGCAGCGGCAGTCATAAAAGCAAACATTAAACATTAGGAATAATTAAAAAAGGGATAGAGAATAAGATGGAGAATATCTTATTGCCCTTATAAAAATCCATGGTATGCCCACATCTTGAATACAGCGTACAGATGTGGTCTCCTCATCTCGAAAAAGATATACTGGCATTAGAAAAAGGTCAGAAAAGGGCAACAAAAATGATTAGGGGTTTGGAACCCCTAAGAGGAGAGATTAAAGAGACTGGGACTTTTCAGCTGAGAAAAGAGGAGACTGAGGGCAGATAGGATAGAGGTCTATAAAATCATGAGTGGTGTGGAGAAAGTGAATAAGGAAAAGTTATTTACTTGTTCCCATAATATAAGAACTAGGGGCCACCAAATGAAATTAATGGGCAGCAGGTTTAAAACAAATAAAAGGAAGTTCTTCTTCGCACAGCGCACAGTCAATGTGTGGAACTCCTTGCCTGAGGAAATTGTGAAGGCTAGGACAGTAACAGGGTTTAAAAAAGAGCTAAATAAATGCATGGAGGTGAGGACCTTCAATGGCTATTAGCCAGGATGGGTAAGGAATGGTGTCCCCAGCCTCTGTTTGTCAGAGGGTAGAGATGGTTGGCAGGAGAGAGATCACTTGATCATTACCTGTTCAATTCACTCTCTCTGGGGCACCTGGCATTGGTCACTGTCGGCAGACAGGACACTGGGCTGGATGGACCCTTGGTCTGACCCAGTCTGGCCATTCTTATGTTCTTATAAATCCCAACAATGGTACATATCTGATATTAGACAAGGCTGTAAAATGATCAATTATGATGAAGAAACCACCCCCCCAAAAGAAGGTGATGGGTGGCGGTAGTCAGGGACTCTCTTTAAGAGGGATACCCGTCGACGGAGCCATGTAGATTAGGATTATAGGCAAAGGCAAATGAAGCCACGATTTAAATGATCGCGGCTTCATTTACATTTACATGGCTGCCGCGCTGAGCCAACAAACAGCTGATCAGCTGTTTGTCAGCTCAGCGCGCTAGTCTGGACGCTCCCCTGCC